CTCCCTGTCCCCAAACTGTCCCCCTGTCCCCACCCTGTCCCTGCATCCCCACAGGTGTCACATCCCCATATTGTCCCCACGTCCCCCCCACAGTTGTGTCCCCACTCTGTCCCCACACCCCCTCAGTGTCCCCTCCCCATCCCCCTGAGTGTCCCCATTGTCCCCTGACTGTCCCCCCTGTCCCCAGGCGCCATGTCCTCCACGTCACAGAAGCACCGGGACTTCGTGGCGGAGCCGATGGGGGAGAAGCCGGTGGGGACGTTGGCCGGGATCGGGGACGTGCTGGGCAGGAAGCTGGAGGAGAAGGGCTTTGACAAGGTGGGGACGTCCCTGAGGGTGTTGGGGACACCTGGGGGACATCCCTGGAGGGTTGGGGACACCTGGGGGACATGATTTGGGATCGGGGACGTGCTGGGCAGGAAGCTGGAGGAGAAGGGCTTTGACAAGGTGGGGGACACAGGGGGGGTGTCAGTGACCCTTGGGGGTGTCCCCTGTCCCCTGGTGACCCCCCTGGTGACACCCCTGTCCCCTCCCCAGGCCTACGGGGTGCGGAGGCAGTTCCTGGTGCTCCTCAAGGACGAGGAGCTGTTGGAGACTCGGGGATGGGGGTGGGAAAGGAGACACTGGGGGGGTGTGAGTGACCCTTGGGGGTGTCCCCTGTCCCCTGGTGACCCCCCTGGTGACCCCCCTGTCCCTTGGTGACATCTCTGTCCCCCCCTAGGCCTACGTGGTGCTGGGGCAGTTCCTGGTGCTGCGCAAGGACGAGGAGCTGTTGGAGACTCGGGGATGGGGGTGGGAAAGGAACCCCTTGGGGACACTGTGGGGGTCATCAGTGACCCTTAGGGATGTCCCCTGTCCCTTGGTGACATCTCTGTCCCCTCCCCAGGCCTACGTGGTGCTGGGGCAGTTCCTGGTGCTGCGCAAGGACGAGGAGCTGTTCCGGGAGTGGCTGAAGGAAACGTGCGGAGCCAACGCCAAACAGAGCCGGGACTGCTCGGGCTGCCTGAGGGAGTGGTGTGACGCCTTCCTCTGAGCCCCCCACCCCCACCACGGGCACCTCAAACCCCCTCCCCCTCCCCCAAAGCTTCCCCTGCGCCCCCAAACCCCTCCCCCAACATCCCAAAGCTCCCCCATCCCACCTTTGGCGAATTCCACCTGCCGGGTAAATTTGAGGGCTGTGGGATCCCCACAGAGGGGTTGGGGGATCCCCTGAGCACCCCAAAACTGTCTGTGGGGACC